CGGGTGGTTACGGGGTCTGGGTTTGGTTTTGGGTTGTTCTTGTTGTTATGGGTGGTGTGAGTGCGGTTTGGGTGGTATTTGGAGGTGGGTTGTGGGGGGGGGTGTAGGCTGGGTGCTGGGGGGTGGAGGGTGTGTGTTTTGGCGTTGGTGGCGAGGGCAGTGGGTGTGCGTCTGTGTTTTTGGGGCTGTGGTTGGAATTTCTCTTTGTTTTGGTTTATGAGGGTGTTGGGGGTTCGTTTGTCTGTTGCGTTGGTGCTGGTTTTGTGTCTCGGCTGTCTTTCTTGTTGGTGTTGGGGGGTGTGGGGGGTTGTTTTCTGTTTTATTTGGTCGTACCTGATTTTTGTTGTTGGTGGTTTGTTGGTTTTTGTTTAGGGGGGTGGGTAGTAGGTGGTTGGGGGATGGAGGTTAGGTGCTGGGAGGTGTTTGTCTGTTTGTTTTCCTGTTATGGTAATTGTATGGGTATTTGGGTATTGGTGGTATTTGTTTAGGTTTTCTTGGTCTTGGTGTTGTTTTTTGATTGGTTTATTTGATTTTTGGGTGGAGGGGGTATTGGATTTTTGTTCTTTGTGGGTGTTTTTGTAGTGTGCTGACTGGGCTTGGGGCTTGGGGGATAGGCAGGGTTGTGGGTGGGGGCGTTTTGGGGTGTGTGGCTTTGTTGGCGGGGTGGGGGGGTGGTGTATTTGTGCTGGGGGGGGGTTTGGTGTGGGTTCATTGTGGGGGGGGGCGGGGGGGGTGGTTTGGATGGTGTTATTGGGTTGTGAGGGGTGGGAGGTTGGCTTTTTTTTTTGTTCTGTGGGGGATGCTGGTGTGGGGGTTAGGGGATTGGTCGTGGTGCTGTATGTGGTTGGGTTGTTGTCGCATTGGGGGGGTGATGGAGGTTTAGTGGGTTTTGGGCAGGGTCTGGATTGGGGGTGGCTTGCAGGGGTGGGGGTGTTTGGAATTGTCGGGGCATGCGGTTTTGAGGGTGTTGAGGGGTGTGTACCTGTGGTTTTGTGTGGGTGGTTGGGTTTTTTTTTTACCTGCTGGGTTTTGTTGTATAGTAAGGTGGTGTCGGTTAGGATTGGTGTCTGAGTGGTTTTGGTCGTGGTTGGTTCGTTTTGTAGGTCGAATTAGAAGGCGGGGTTGCCGTGGGTGGGGTGCTGGTTTTGTGGGTTTTTCTTTTGATTGCGGTGGTTGCGGTTTAGGTGGGTGTAGTTTTGTTTGTGTGTGGGTGTGTTTTTGTTGGTGGCGGATGGGGTGGGGGCGGTGGGGATGATGTTTGGGGGTGGAGTTTGATTTTTTGATGGTTTTAGGTGGTGGTAGGTGTTATGGGGTGTGTGGTGTGTGTGTGTGGGGTGTGGTGTGATGTGTATGGTGTGTGGTGTGTGTGGTGTGTGGTGTGTGTGGTGTGTGGTGTGTGTGTGGTGTGTGTGTGTGGTGTGTGTGTGTGTGGTGTGTGTGGTGTGTGGTGCGTGTGCTGTGTGGTGTGTGGTGTGTGTGTATCTTCTGGTCTGAACGCCCCTGAGCCCTTTGCGGTGGCCGTGGCTGCAGTGCTACGGAGCCAGAGCATCACAGCACCACCGTCCAGCAGTGACAAGACCCAGCTGCGCGTGGACGGGCCCCCCTCAGCCCCGCGCGTGGACAGCCCCCCTCAGCCCCGCGCGTGGACGGGCCAAGTGGCATGTGACTGCACTTCTCCTTCTTCCCGCGGGCCCTCCTCGCTCCCTTCTGCCAGAGGTTCCCTTCCACCCGGGCATGCTGGGCTTTCTCTGGCCGCCTGTTTCCCGTTTGGCCACCCTGCGCTGACCGCCGCTCTGGCCTGCCCTGCGCTGACCGCCGCTCTGGCCTGCCCTGCGCTGACCGCCGCTCTGGCCTGCCCTGCGCTGACCGCCGCTCTGGCCTGCCCTGGGCCTCCGTGAGGCCCTGGCTCCGCCCCGAGGGCTGCAGCCTCCGGCTCTTCCTGTCGTTCTCCTGCACAACACTGCGCCGGACTGGCACCGTGAAGGAATGAATGAGAAGGAAGGTGCTTTCCTGGATCTGACATCAGGGCCGAGACCAGCGACCACTTTCTTGGCTGACGGACGAGGAGGCTGACACAAAACCGAGGCGCGATTCAGCTGATCTGAGACAGCAGCTAACCAAGGAACCACCTGGAGAACACGCTTCTGGATCGGCGTCTACACCCGCGCAAACCTCCAGGGCCTGTGCCGCAGACCGGCGGTCGTGGCGAGGCCGCGTGGGAGCTGTGTGCAAGGACTGGGCGTCGCCGCGTCCTGCAGACGGTGCGGCAAGATGCCTGGTTGCTGGGAAGAAAATGTGCCCAGAACCAGGCGCTTTGCCCAGACGGCTTGGCTACAGGCAGCTCCGCCGCCGTACTGGTGCTGCTCGGTCAGGAGTGACGGCTGGGCGTCCGCGGCCTGGCAACCCTCGGCAGGCGTCCCTGGACGCAGAACGTCCCCTGCACAGGCGGGATGCAGTCACCCTGAGGGCATCGTCCCTGCAGAAGCGGGGCAGTGGATGAGCTGCCCATTCCAGAGCAGACCCAGCTGGCGCCCGTCCCCTGGGCTCCCCACGGCGCGAGAATGACTCGCGTGACACGGTGCTGGTGTCAAGCCTCACACCCAGAGCCCCACAGGGCAGCGCCAAGCACACTACATGGGCAGCTGCCCATGTTTGTGCAAAGCCCTGATGCCCGTTGCCACAGAAACGGGGCGTGCCCCGAATCACAGGCCCTAACTCTCACCAACAGAAATGGGTCAAATCAATAAATAAACTAATAGTATCCCATAAAGGAAATACACTGGGAATAATATACCTCTCTCGATTGGGAGAGGTCCAGCCAAAGAAAGCCACCAACGTCCCAGAGAGCAGATGGTCCCGGAAGGAAGGAAAGCAGCGGTGACAGCGGGGAGTCTGAGATAGTTGTTTGCCCGGAATGTTTACCCCAGAGCCTGCTTGGCCTTAACCCCACAGCCCTCGTCACTAGTGGTCTGACAACCACGAGGCCATTGTCGTTCAATGTCTTGGTTTCAGCTGCGGCTTTGTGTCCTTGCTAGGTAAGTTACCCTGACCGGGGCTCATTTTCCGTATCAGTAAGTGCAACAAAGCTTAACATTTTTAGACCAACAGAAAGCCTCAATTTTGATTAACAAACATTTATCAGGCTTTTTTTTTTTTTTGGGTAGAGGTTAGTTGAAAGCAAAGATATTAACCTAGAAGATGTTGTTTTTCCTTGAAGAGCTGTCATCCCTGAGTTAACAAGCAGAGCCTTCTGTGGGCTAGCATCCGGGCCGTGGGAGGGCTTGCTGCACGCTGAGGGCCTCACAGCGCCAGGAACCCCAGGGGCCGGTGTCCATGATGGAGCTGGAGCAGCCCCGCAGTGCTCTGCCTTGCAGCAGCGCATGGAGACACGACAGACAGAAGTAAACAGGGATCTGGGGTTTGGACTGAGGTCAATCCCAGACTCATGGAACCGTCATCATAAAGTGACAAGGAGATATTTACAAATCATGCACTTCTTAATAATTGTTTTTGTCCTTTCAAAGGCTCAATATTTTACCAATTTCAGCCAATGGGATCCTCTTGGATTGCTGTCCTGTGGTGACTATGCCACACTGCTCTCGATCCAGTGAGAAGGATTATTGTTCTCTTTTCATTTCAGAGTCATTGACATTCTCGAGAAACAACCTGGGGTGTTTAATATTCTAGTCATACTGAAAATCCTGCCTGGTTTGCCCGACTGTATTTCACAGACCAGTGTAAGGAAGGAATTATTTTAAAAAACAGCAAAACAGAGATTTTTACACACTCAAATTCATACAATGTAGTGTTTCCCAGCATTTGGCTGACTTCAGACTACTTACGCTAGGAAAATCATGGGTCAGGTCAGAGATTTGGAAACGCTTTGATGATAATTTATTATTGTCCAATATAATTCATGACTTGATTGCTGATATCAGTGTTTTCTTTCTTTTATTTCAAAGTATTACAGGGGTACAAATATTTTTGGTTACATGGATTGCCTTTATAATGCTTGAGTCATGATTATAATTGTACCCATCACCCAGGTAGTGATCACTGTACCTGTTAGGTAGGTTTTTACCCATCACCTCCTCCCCACGCCTCCCTGCTTGATTTCCTATGAGTTTTACTTCCCTCTATGCATGTGTGTTCATCGGTTAGTTTCAATTTAATAGTGAGTACATGTGGTGTTTGTTTTTCCATTCTTTACATACTTCACTTAGGATAATGGTCTCCAGTTCCATCCATATTGTTGCAAAAAGTACTAAGTCATCCTTATTCATGGCTAAGTAGTATTCCATGGTATGCATATATCACATTTTGTTAATCTACTCATGAATTGATGGGCACTTGGGTTGATTCCACATCTTTGTAATTGTGAATTGTGCTATAATTAGCATTCAAGTGCAGATGTCTTTTTGATAAAATGATTTATTTTCCTTTGGGTAAATACCCAGTAATGGGATTGCTAGATCAAATGGTAGGTCTACTTTTAGTTCTTTGAGGTATCTCCATACTGTTTTCCAAAGAGGTTGTACTAATTTACAGTCCCGCCAATAGTGTATAAGCATTCCTTTCTCTCTGCATTCACACCAGAATCTATTGCTTTTGGATTTTTCAACAGCCATTCGAACAGGGGTAAAGCGATATCTCATTGTGGTTTTAGTTTGCATTTCCCTGACGATTAGTGATGTTGAGCATTTTTTCATATGTTTATTGGCCATTTGTCTACCTTCTTTTGAAAACTTTCTGTTCATGTCTCTTGCCCACTTTTTGATGGAGTTGATTTTTTTCTTGCTGATTTGCTTGAGTTCTTTGTCGATTCTGGTTCTTAGCTCTTTATTGGATGTATAATGTGTAAATATTTTCTCCCATTCTGTAGGTTGTCTATTTGCTCTGTTGATTATTTCCTTGGCTGTGCAGACGTTTTTAATTTAATCAAGTATAATTTACTTATTTTTGTTGTTGCTGTGATTGCCATTGGGGTCTTCATAAATTCTTTGCCTAGGCTGATATCTAGATGAGTTTTTCCAATATTTTCTTCTAGAATTCTTAATGTTTCATTTCTTACATTTATGTCTTTTATACATCTTGAATTAATTTTTGTGAGTGGTGATACATATGGATCCTGTTTCATTCTTCTGCAATTTTCCCAGCACCATTTATTGAATAGGGATTCTTTTTTCCAGTGTATATCATCGTCTGCTTTGTCAAAGATCAGTTGGCATCAGTATGTGGATGGTTTTATATCTGAGTTTTCTGTTCTGTTCCATTGGTCTATATCTCTATTTTTGTGCCAATACCATGATGTTTTGGTTACTACAGCCTTGCAATATAGTTTGGAGTGTGGTAATGTGATGCCTCCAGATTTGTTCCTTTTGCTTAAGATTGGTTTGGCTATTCGGGCTCTTTTCTGGTTCTGAACAAAGCATAGAATTATTTTTTCTAGATTTGTGAAACACGAAGTTGGTATTTTGATTGCATTGAATCTACAAATCATTTTGGGTAGTGTGAACATTTTAACAATGTTGATTCTACCAATCCATAAGCATATGTTTTTCCATTTGTATCATCTATGATTTCTTTCCTCAGTGTTTTGTAATTCTTTGTCGAGACTTTTTATGTCCTAGATTAAGTATATTCCTAGGTATTTTATTTTCTTTGTAGCTATTGTGAATTGAATCTTTGATTTGATTCTCAGCTTGACTATTATTGGTGTACAGGAATGCTACTGATTTGTGTACATTGATTTTGGAACCTGAGACTTTGCTGAATTTATTTAACAATTCCAGGAGTCTCTTGGTGGAAACTTTGAGGGTTTCTAGATATAAGATCATATAATCCACCAAAAGCAATAGTTTAAGCTTCTCTTTCCCAATTTGGATACACTTAATTTATTTCTCTTGCCTGATTGCTCTGGCTAGAACTTCCAGTACTATGTTGAATACAAGTGGTGACAACTGGCATCTTTGTCTTGTTCTAGTTCTTAGTGGGAATGTTTTTAACTTTTCCCCATTCAGTATGCTGTTGGCTATGGGGTTGTCACATGTAGCTTTTATACTTTTGAGATATGTTCCTTCTATGCCTAGTTTGTTGAGGGTTTTTTTTATCATGAAAGGGTCCTGAATTTTGTTGAATGCTTTTTCTGCATCTATTGAGATGATCGCGTGATCTTTGTTTTTGCTTCTATTTATATGTTGAATCACATTTATCAATTTACATATGTTGAAATTAAAGAAGCAGCACAAATTTCTATTTTATTAAGAGTTTTATTTGGTAAAAGAGCCACAGTTACATTTTTAAAGGAAAGGATAAAATTTTCATATTAAAAAAATTAAACTGCCTTTTTAAAGGGTTATTTTTCATGGGTTTTATTTAACTTTTATTATGTTATGCAATAACATAATATAGTACAGTAAATCATAACCATCTATAAAATATTTTCTCCACACTGTCATGAGAAAGAGGGGAATAACAAAACAAAAGCATTATCATAAATAATTTAGTGAAATGCTTTAATAGTATGGCCTGGGGTCCACATATGTTTCATTCAACTTGTACTTTTCCCCTTCAACACCTATTATAACCTACAGCCACATCAGCTTCACTGATCTTAGAGTGATGCTCCTTAGGCTTGTCAACATTAATAATGAGATTCAGAAAATGTGTTTAATTATAGAGTTTATTTAAGCTCAAAGGTTAAGGATGGCCACATTGTAGGACAGATTTGAGTTGCTCTAAATATACACTCCAATTAGCAGCAGTCACAAGTGGGATTTTAAGTAAAAAGGTAGAGGCAGTTCCTAAACTGTTTACCAAGAATATACATTAAAATAACATAAGCTATTGATTGTCTATACAATGTTCTTATATCACAAATTCCAGGAACATGACAATAATGTGTGAAGCAACTATTCTGGAACAAAATACCTTTGACAATTGCCCCCCCACCGGGGGCAGGGGGGATGACTGAGGTCCCATACTCATATCTCTCCCTATTTCTCTTTTCTCATTTCTCCCCTTTTCATCAAGAACTTTCAAGGTACACTGTGGATGAACTCAAGCAGTTTTGGTTCCTTTTGTGCACAGGAGTTAGTCCCCCCACATTGCTAGGAAGGCCATTCCTGGATGCCCCTGTCCCATCCCGGCCTTGAATCATTTCTAATCTTCAGAATACCATGAGTTAAGTTTATTCAGAAAAAGTAAAACAATGAAATAAAACAATGAAATATGATACAAGGATTAAAATTTTAAAAAACTATAGGCCAGGATGAAAACACCCCTATCCCACTGGTGAGTTAGTTAAAAACATCATGAAGGAAATTAAAATCTGGTTCTTCTTTGGAGATTTGTAGCCAGGAAATAATTCAGAATTTAGTCCAAATCGTAGGAGAATGATAAAAACTCAAAAACAATGTCCAGGCCAGGCATGGTGGCTCATGCCTGTAATCCTAGCACTCTGGGAGGCCAAGGTGGGTGGATTGCTCGAGGTCAGGAGTTTGAAATCATCCTGAGCAAGAGCGAGACCCCATCTCTACTACAAATAGAAAGAAATTAATTGGCCAACAAATATATATAGAAAAAATGAGCTAGGCATGGTGGTACACGCCTGTAGTCCCAGCTACTCGGGAGGCTGAGGCAGTAGGATCGCTTGAGCCCAGGAGTATGAGGTTGCTGTGAGGTAGGCTGATGCCATGGTACTCACTCTAGCCTGGGCAACAAAGTAAGACTCTGTCTCAAAAACAAAAAAACAAAACAATGTCCAGGGCTGGAAACTAATACCAGGTGTGCTACAGTTTTCTTCTGAAACATAGTTATTCTCCCTCCAGTTCCCCTTTTCTAGCAAAGATAAATCTTAGTAGGACCAATTTACTTGCAAAATAACTTTTAGTATTATACTTGGCCTGATTATTTGCATAAAGTGCAACAAGAATAATGAATGGCCACATAGGCCCTTTTAAGTTAGGTTTTCTGGAAGCTTTTTATAAGGAATCGTATATTAGACTTGTAAAACCCTCTCCAGGGTAGGAAGCCAAGATGAGGATTCACTGTCAGACTGTAATACGTGTACGACTTGGGTGAAGGCCTCTCTTCTCAAGGTTCCAAAATATCTAGAGGTTCCTGGGCCTGTCAGAAAGTGGCATTCCTTACTTACCACAGGGTCAGGAACCTTGAAAGGGAGATGTGTATTAGGCCTGTCTTTCCAAGGGGCTTTTTATCAGTTCTATAAAGTCAACCTCAATTCCTCAAAGTAGTCTGGTCATATCTGAGACTATGCCATTCCTGTCAAAGCTTTAGTAAAATTACCAGTGTCTCCAATGTACCTATGACAAAAGAAAACATACTCTTATTGAAGTCATACTAATAGTTATATTGCCATAAAATAAGAATACTCACACATAATTTCCAAATTCTGGAGAAATCAGGTAGAGAGAAAGGTAAATGTTATTAAACTGGCCTTTTACCTTCCTGTGGGGATCTAGCTGCTGCATGGTGTTAGTAGCAGCTGTTCATGTGGAAGAGGGTGTGATAGGACTCAGCCTCCAGTCTGGACCTTCCCTTTTGCATAAGGAGTTGGGGCAGGGGGAGTCCTGAGATTTTTATTTCCCTTTCCATTTGATAAAAAAAGACAAAACATAAAGATGTAATATATAAATGATTACAGTATATAGAATGTTATTAAATGAAAGAAGCAATTAGAAATTTGGCTTAAAACATACCTTGCCATATTATACCTGCCCCAAGTTAATGAGCACAGAGCCGATTACCACCTGTTTGCATAGAAGGAGTGGAGAGGGAGTGGAAGGAAAGGGAAACATACAGGATAATTTAAAAATATAATTTCAAAATATTACATATATATATGCATACATAGAAAAGAACATAGCAGACCACTCGCAGAAGTGGTAAAAGAAGAAATTTTGAGAAGGTG